ATGAAAACTGTTGATAGCAAAGCCGCATCTAAAACAGTGGTGCCTGTCCTAACTTTCAATGGAGTGATGCTCTGAGTACTTTTCAAGGTGTGATCTGAAGACAATTCAGATTTAAAATTGGCGTAGTGGGAAAGGGCACAAGCTGCACCACAGAATCCATCTTTCACTCTGCAATCTGACTGTTACCCTTCAAATAGGATGCCGCATTCGCTTAAAAATACAGTAATTTTACTTGACAATAAAATCCTATGAAAGATGCAATATCAAACGCAAGGATGACTATTATGATTGATTATTATTAATCTTTGATATTTTAAATATAATTCTGTTGGTCAAATTATCTTCTTTGTTGAAGACCAGTATACCAACGAGAGATGGTGCACCAGCCCAAACTACAATGTGCCAATCCAACCAGCAGTAATACAGAATACTCACCAAGTAACCAGACAGGAGCCAACCAATTAATGAGTCAAACAAAGTGCCAGCCCAACCACCAGAACAATGCCCTGGTAACCAGCAGGAACCAAGTGGGCCGATGGCATTAGGGGCAGGCAATTTCCTGGTCACCAATAGTGGAGACAGCAGCATATCCTTGGTTAGAGGAAGTGCTCAGCTCAAATTGATAAGCACAATTTAACATACTTCCATTCTTATTTTGGCAGCTGATCAATTCTTGTTTGTGAACAAAAATGCAGACTTCAAAACGCAAAACCCAGAATCAGGACACAGAGGACACCAGGACTGTGTGAGCATCCACTCCAATACTCGCTCCATCACAAACAGTGACAAACCCGATTCTCTGTAATTCAACTGCAATGAGCAACAATGCAAATTTCACAAGAGCATCTGGGTCTCATCCATCCTTGGAGGGAAGTTCCCTCTTAGCAAATTCTGGAACATGGTGAGGTGCAGAATGTCAAGAGTATTAGCATATTCAGCTGTCCCTAAACATTCCCTGACATTGTCCACATGAAGGGTGCCATATAAATGCAAGTTGTTGTTATCATGTGTCATGATACAGGCATCACCTGTCATTATATGGCACCAATATGCTCTCACTTATTCTGCATTGATAAGGCCCTGACTGATCAGAGGGATTTCAGTGTCAATGAACTGCAGCATATGCATGTTGGTCCTACCTGCTCATCTTGTCTCACTGCTGTTCCTGGGGGTCCCTCCTCTGCAGATTCCCCTAAAGCTCCAATATTGTGCACAGGCCCCTGCTTCACAGGACAAACTACTGAAAAAAAGATAAGAAAATGGTTCTGATTCACACTAGCAGCAATAATTAACATTTCTGTGGCACAGTTCACATCGGGAGGAATCTCAAGATCTTCACACAACTGACTCGAAACTCAAGCTGGTGATGGTGGTGGGGGGAGCTCAACAACAAAATTGCATTTGTATAGCTCCTTTCATGTGGGGAGGACATCCCAAGATGCTGGACAGTCAGAGTTTCTACGGGATGGAGTTCAGAGGGTGGGGGCAGAAAGGCAGAAGGCCCAATGGTGGGGCAGGCGAGTCGGGGGATGTGAAGCAGGCAGGAGTCCTCTGAGCGGAGGGAGCGGGCAGGATGGTGAGGGGTTAGGAGGTTGCAGAGGTAGGGGTGGGGGAGCAAGACCCTCGAGGGCTTTAAAGGTGAAGACTAGGATCTTGAACTATATCCTCAGTGTGACGTGAAGCCAGTGGAGTCAAGCGAGGATGGGAGGGTCACGGAGCCTGGTATGGTAGAGGACATGGGCTGCAGAGTTCTGGATGATCTGCAGCCTATGGAAGGAGGAGTTGGGGAGGACGCCAAGCAAGGAGTTTGCACAGTCAAGCCTCAATGTAATGAATGTATGTATGAGCGTTTCGGTGGCCTGCGGTGTGAGACAGTGGCGGAGCTGGGCGATGCTGCAGAGGTGGGGAAGGCAGAGCGGGTTACGGCACAGATGTGGGTTAGAAAGGATAGTTGAGGGTTAAACAAGATGCCAAGGTTCCAGACTGGCTGAGTGAGGTGGAGTGTGCATCCTTGGATGGTGATACTGTCAGCGCCTGAGGTGTGAGGGGCTGACGGGAGCCAATCAGGAGAGCCTCGGTCTTGTTGATGTTCAACTGAAGAAAATTAGCTCTCATCCAGGACTTGATGTCTAACAGACATTCTGGAATCAAGGGTGGAGGCAGAGAGGTGTCATCCGGATACATGTGGAAGTTGACCTCATGTTTACGGATGATGTCACCAAGAGGGAGCATATAGATATTGAAAAGGAGGGGACCAAGGACAGAGCCCTGAGGAATGCCACACGAGACGGTGCGGGGGCTAGAGGGGAGACCATTTGTGGAGATGAAATGCGGTGTGAGAGGTACGATCTGAACCAGTCAAGGACACAGCCGTGAAGGTTGAGGTAAGAGAAGAGGCGGTGGATGAGGATAGAGCGGTCAATGGTGTCAAAGGCAGCAGAGAGGTCAAAGAGGACGAGGAGGCAGAGGGAGTCCATTTGTCACTTTGACCAGGGCTGTTTCTGTGCTGTGGGTGACATGGAAACCCGATTGGAGGGGTTTGTGAAAGGAGTGGCGGGAGAGGAAGGAACGAAGCTGGGAAGCAACAACTTGTTCCAGGACCTTGGAAAGGAAAGGGAGGTTGGAGATGGGGACGTGATTTGAGAATAGTGATGGGTCCAGGGCAGGTTTTTTTAAGGATAAGAGTGATGACAGCCATTTTTAATGGGGTGGGAACAGTGCCAGTGGACAGGGAGATGTTTATGATGTCTGTGAGTAGAGGGACAAGGAGGTGGAGCTGGGGGTTAAGGAGAGGGGTAGGGATGGGGTCGAGGGAGCAGGTAGTTGGTTTCATGCGGGTTCTAGTGGTGGTGAGAGAGGAGTGGGAGACTAGTTCAAAGGTGTGGAGGGAGGGATGGGTAAGGGCCAGGGTGGAGGTGGTAGTACAACAACAACAACAACAAGATTCCATTTATTGAGCGCCTTTCACGTCGGGAGGACGTCCCAAAGCGCTGTACAGTTGGGTCAGGACCCGAGCAAGGGGGAAATGGTCAGGGGGAGGGAAGGGAGGGAGTGAGGAGGGGGTAGAGAGTCGAGAGGGGAGCTGAAGGCACGGTCAAAGAGAAAGGTCTTGAGACCGGCCTTGAAGGAGGAAAGGGAGGAGGCAAGGCGAAGGCACTGGGGGATAGAGTTCCAGAGCCTCGGGGCTGAGAGGCTGAAGACCCGGCCACCGATAGTAGGGCGGTTGGGGCGGGGGATGTGGAGGAGACCGGAGCCAGAGGAACGGAGGGTACGGGCGGGTAGGTAGGGGGATAGTAGGTCGGAGAGGTAGGAGGGAGCAAGGCCGTGAATGGCCTTGTAGGTGAGGATGAGGATCTTGAATTCGATCCTCTGGGGGATGGGGAGCCAGTGGAGGCGAGCGAGGGTGGGAGTGATGTGTTCCCGAAGCCTGGTGCGGGACAGTACACGAGCTGCAGAGTTCTGAATGACCTGCAGCTTGTGGAGGGAGGTGCCGGGAAGGCCGGCGAGGAGAGAGTTCCCATAGTCCAGCCTTGAGATGATGAAGGAGTGGACCAGAGTTTCAGCTGCGTGAGGGGTGAGGTAGTGCCGTAGTCTGGCGACATTCCGGAGGTGATGGAAGGCGGTGCCAGTTGTGGCGCGGATATGGGGGAGAAAGGACAGCTCAGGGTCGAACAGAACGAGGTTCCTGACTGGCTTTGAGAGGTGGAGAGTGCAGCCTTGGATGCTGGTGCTGTCAGCGCCTGAGGTGCGGAGGCGCTGAAGCGAGCCAATCAGGAGGGCCTCAGTTTTGCGTACGTTGAGCTGGAGAAAGTTATCTCTCGTCCAGGATAGTAGATAGAAGGGCAGAGGCAGCTGAGCGGATTCCCTCAACTTTGGATTTGAGAAGGTCCAGCATTGCCTAACAGTTGGTATTGTGGGTGAGGGTGGGCGGAGGAGCCGGTTAGTGATAGAGAAGGGGAGTCTGGGATTGTCCTTGGCCTCCAAGATTGTCTTGGAGTAGAACGATGATTTAGCGGCGGGGAGGGCGGAGCGGTAGGATTTGATAAGGTCCAGACAGATCTGCCGATGGAGCATTAAGTTCAATTTAAGCCAGGTGCGTTCAGCAGCACGCATCTGTGCTTCAAGGGAGCGGAGGTGGCTGGTGTACCATGGTGACTTACGGAAACTTGGAAAGAAGCAACACTTTCCAGCATAAAAGCGAAAGTGAGGAAAACACTGGAAAAAAGAACAATTTTGTGAGAAAGAAACAAGTTTGCTGTGTCTTGAGAGCATCTTTCATAATTGGCCTTTTATAGTGCCATGTTTCTAAAAAAGCCTTCTTTCGCCATCGATGCTCATGGTAAGGAGAGTCATGTGCTGAGTTCAGTGGAGAAGCCACCAAGTTTAGTGGAGATTCACTTTCATTCTTGAATCACAGAAAAACAGCTTCTTTTTGTTGTGAATTCCTTGCTCACTGGCCAAAGAGATGTACTTCAACAGAAAATTCAACAGTGAACCACTATTCTCCGTCACCATCCAGCCACCAAATTAAGACCTTTGGAGAAACTGGTATTAAATATCTGAATCTTCCTGGAGAGCAGAATCTCCCTGTGTTACCAATTCTTACTGTCACAATTGTACAGATATACATAATACCCACCCCACTCTGACGCTCTGGAATAGGGGCTCAGCTCCTCTTCATCGCTTGTGTTTGTCCTTGTGTGTTGACGTGACCTGTGAAGGCTCCTTTTATCCATGCTTTCGCTGCTCTTCATTGGATCACTTTGCCGATCTGGGTAGTGCAGAGTTGCCATTGAAAGCATTCCCTGAATGGCTTCTTCAGTACCTGGAGATGGTGGGCGTTCCCTGAAATCCACAAGAATAATGAACTTGTACTTTCTGCAATGAGAATGGGTTTGTGCACGGTTGAAGTTCCCCGTCATCAACCATCTATCTTGCACCATTGTCCTCAACTAAAAGAGATGCACAGTCAACAGTTGCTGTTGGTTGACAGTGGCAATACCTCTAGTTGGGTTATTCTCTTCAGACAGTACCATGCCAAAGCTTGGGACTTTGTATGCCAACAAAACACTGTCACTGTACTCGACCCGAATAACTTGTGAAGTGCTTTTGAGATATTATGACAAGATAGAAATGCCACAAACAATTAGAAATTTAAAAAGAGAATTAGACATTTGAAAAAAACATATGAAAAGGGAAAGCATGAGCTGAGTATTGGAATTTGAGCAGGTGGCTCACTTGGAAAAAACACCAATGCACATGTCCCGTTTGCCACATCCAATGAAAATAATACAAATTCTTCTACGACAATTAATGAACTGAATAAGATCATCAATTGCATGTGAACCAAGGAGCTCTAGGTGTAGAAAGCCAGCCAGTTAGGGACTGGACTTCCATAATGTGAGATTACATTCAGAACAGTGCCCCCTGCTGAATCAATTTAACATTTACTGCAGTTTTTTGCACTAACCTTTTTAGTGACTAACCAATTGTATTTGGCTGATTGTTGCCTGGTTGTCTGCGTTTACTCTCCTCCACAGCACCCTCTCCACCACACTCGATGCCCTTGCCCCCCTCTCCTCCCAAACTGCCTCGGCTGAAGATCTTTCTTTTCAACTGCACCTTTGGTCACCTTCCTCCCCCTCCCCCTGGCTCTTCCCCGGGATCCGTTACTGTGAAGCGCTCTGAGACGCCGTCCGGCGTGGAGGACGCTATATAAATCCAAGTTGTTGTTATTGTTCCTATTCCCGATCCTCACCCTGGTTCACCAGCCACCTCCGATCGCTCAAGAGCCAGGTGCAAGCTGCTGAATGCACTTGGCTCAAATCCGGCATAATGGTCTACCGGTACATCTGGCTGGACCTCATCAAAACCTACCGCTCCGCTCTCGCCTCGGCCAAATCGTCCCGTCTATTCCAGGTTAATCCTGGAGGCGAAGGGTAACCCCAGGCTCCTATTCTCCACCACCAATCGGTTCCTACACCCTCCCCGCCACATCTCGCAGATTCTTTACTCCGATCTCCACTGCGAGGAAATGCTGGACTTGCTCGAGTCCAAAATCGAGGGAATCCGCTCAGCTGCCACTGCCCCCCCACCCCAACTTCCACCCGCTCCCTACCCCCCACCCCACACTCCGACCACTACCCATCCCTCCTTCCACACCTTTGAACCTGTCACCCCCGCCCCCTCTATTATCACCACCATATCCTCCATGAAGCTCACCCCTGCTCCCTGGACCCCATCCCCAACCCCCTCCATAAATCCCAGCTCCACCTCCTTGCCCCACTACTCACCGACATCATCAACCTCTCCCTGTCATCTGGCACTGTTCCTACCCCCCCTCAAAACAGCCACTATCAACCCCACCTTAAAGAAACCTTCCCTTGACCCAACACAGCTATCCAGCTACCGGCCCATCTCCGACCTCCCTTTTCTGTCCAAGGTCCTTGAGAGAGCCGTTGCCTCCCAGCTTCGCTCTTTCCTTTCCTCCCACTCACTCCATGAGCCCCTCCAATCAGGTTTTTGTGCTGCCCACAGCACGGAAGCTGCTCTGGTCAAGGTCACAAATGACATCCTGACCACGTGTGACCAGGGCTCCCTCGTCCTCCTCGACCTCTCTGCTGCTTTTGACACTGTGGACCATTCAATCCTCCTCCACCGCCTCTCCTCCCACCTCAACCTCCCAGGTTCTGTCCTTGACTGGTTCAGATTCTAACTTTCAAACCGCCTCCGCTTTGTCTCAGCTAACGGCTTCTCCTTCAGCCCCCGCACTGTCTTGTGCGGCGTTCCTCAGGGCTCTGTCCTTGGTCCCCTTCTCTTCATCCTCTACATGCTCCCCCTTGGTGACATCATCCGCAGACATGGGGTAAATTTCCACATGTATGCAGATGACACCCAACTCTATCTCTCTGCTTCCACCTTCAACTCCAGGGCTACTGGCGTCCTGAACCGACTGCCTGTACGACATCAAGTCTTGGACGAGGGACAATTTTCTCAGCTGAACGTCAGCAAGACCGAGACCCTCCTGATTGGCTCGCGCCAGTGCATCTGCACCTCGGGCCCTGGCAGCATCAGCCTCCACGGCTGCACACTCAACAGCACTAAGCCAGTCAGGAACCTGGGTGTCTTGTTTGACCCTGAACTGTCCTTTCTCCCCCACATCTGCACCATGACCGGCATTGCCTACCACCACCTCCACAATATTGCCAGACTTCATCACTGCCTCACTCCTCAGGCTGCCGAAACCCTTACCAGCGCATTCATCACATCAAGGCTCGATTATGGAAATTCCCTTCTCATCGGCCTTCCCAACTCTTCCGTTCACAAGCTGCAGATCATCCAAAACTCTGCAGCTCGTGTACTCTCACATACCAGGCTCCGCAACCCCATCACTCCCACCCTCGCCCGACTCCACTGGCTCCCCATCCCTCAGAGGATCGAATTCAAGATCCTCGTTCTCACTTTCAAGGCCATCTATGGCCTTGCCCCCTCCTACCTCTCTGACCTGCTGACTCCCTACCAACCTGCCCACTCCCTCCGTTCAGCGGGCTCCGGCCTGCTCCATGTCTCCCGCCTGACTATCGTGGCTGAACTTTCAGCCTCTCTGCCCCCACACTCTGGAACTTCATCCCACAGTCCCCTCCATCCCACTCACCCCTACCCCACCCCTCCCCCATGCTCGGGTCCTGACCCCTGACTGTCCAGTGCCTTGGGATGTTCTATAAATATAATTTTGTTTTTGTTGTTCAAACTTGAATATTTGAAGTTGAATCACCAAGCTGGAATTTGTGTTCATAATTTGCTTTTGCAAGATTTGGGAACTTACTTCTTGACCCACATATATTCAATATACCCCCAGGAGCTTAAATTGATCAAAATGTCCCAACTCAGAATTGTTCACTACGAGTGCCTCATCCTTACCTTTTAATTGTGGTGCCCTTTTTGCAACGTTTCAAACTGGTCCTGGGCTTATCTGGTGCTTGCTGGGACCTCTCAGTCTCTGACTCGTACATCGATCCATTCTTCTCACTGTGGTCTGAATGGTGCGATTCTTCATCCCAGGAGTCTTCCTCTCCACTTCCCTGCAAACAAAATCCAGGCCAGTCTTTTAGGAGAAGTGATATTGAACCAGTCTGGCTGAGAGAGACTATTCTATTTACAACCCTTTAACAAGGTCTGTCACCTGCACGGATAAGAGAGAGAAAAATGGATTGCAGGGAGTCTTTAACAAAGAGAGACTCACATCTCAAGCTGTTTATAGCTGTTATCAGAGGCCCAAGCCAGACATGATTTTATGGTGGAATCAAGGGTCTTTATTCTCAACTTTATTGGGATTATTTCAATGTATTTTTTGCCAGTAGTGGTAACAGTTATGACTGATCAGACAATGCTTTCATCCTGCTGCTTTGTGACAATGACTAGACAAAGATGCTGCAAAGTTACAAAGAGAGGATTGATGATTGCAAATTCGTACAAGGCAAACAATTTATGACCAGGGGGGAACAGTCAGCTGGAATCGATTTCAGTTTGCTTATCAATGAAACAGGTATGGTTACTCTTCGACAGTTATAACTAAGAAAAACATCGCCAGAAACCACTATATACAGAAACATTATAGCACTGCTTTCCAGTGTGAGAAACATGCAGCACATTCCCTCCCTGAGATAGTAACAACGTCCTTAAATTCTATAGAAATCACTCGATTGCCATGGGAGAAATTTACCAGGACCATTACAAACACTTCCCTTGTTCTGCTGAGTATTTATGGTCAGTGATACGTATCAGTGATACCCATCACCTGAAGGCAGGTACAACAACATACTGCACCGCTAAAGATGCCTCACACAAAATACCACAAAACCTCAATCAGTGCTGGGCAATTAAATGGAGAAACATACGAGCCTCCCAATGTTTATGCTTCATGGAACTGAAAGGATTGCTCTTAAAAGAGCCAGCAGAGACCACCAGATCTACCGAATAGCCTTCTGTGCCTAAATACTGTTCTGCCCCATTGCAACACTGTGTAAACAAGGACACAGTAGTCCTACCGCAGGTACCTGGATGCTGCTTTCTTCTTGTGATTCATCTGAATCAGATAAGTCGGAGTATTTGGACACTCCATTCCTGAGTTCGGTTTTCACACTCTCAAAAAACTCTGCGAGGAAATAAAGAGGGATACATGTTTATAATAATAATAATTCTTGCATTTAGTAAAGTACCTTTCATTTTGAGATTTCTCAAAACACTTCACAGGATTTACTGTGTAATGATTCTATTTGAGGTGAACGTATCAGCCACTCTGCACACAGCAATGTTCAAAACACAATCATGAAGTGAATGAACAATTTTACCTAGTACATTGTTGGCCAGGACCCGGGAAGAAACCCCTTTCTATTTTCAAGTTGTGCCATAGGATCTTTAACATCCACCTGAATAAGCAGACGGGAACTTGGTTTCAAGTCTCATCCGAAGGATGCCTCCATCAACATTGCTGGACTGCACTGCACTGTAGATTCTGTGGTTTCCAAGTGCTGACTTGGAGCTTGAACCCACAAATTTGACCCAAATTTGAAAATATTACTTACACACTGAAGGCACAGGCCTTCACCTTATATTGTTTGGTTCGGATCAACAAAAACGGGACATAATACTGAAGCAAGAAAGTCTAGCGGAAAATACGTCCAAGCAGAGTTCCATTCACTCTCCGTTTCTATGAAATCCAAAAGCAACCAAACATGACTTTAGCAAAAAGAACAGGCTACCTTATTCACTGAGTGACCCTTGCAAATCTCACACAGCTGATAATAATCCTTGCATTTGATTACATCGTTGAGATGTCTCAACAGGATATACTGTAATGTAGATTGACTGCATATTTTGTGGGCAAAACGTGGCAGCCAATTGCGCCTTGGATTGGGAATCGAACCTGGGTCCTTTCGAGACGAGTACGCTAATCAATACACTACAGAACTCCACAAGTAAGTCCCCAAGCTTCAATATTCTTGAGGAATTATGGCAAAACTAGTGGTTAGAAAGATTCAGAACGGTACCAGGCACTGACTCTACCCACTTACTGTTCAGCGGTTTTTGAGACTCTTGTTTCTCATCTTCCCAGTCAGAGCTGTCAGTCTCGTCCTGCCCAGATGCCCTTTGTCCTTCTTCCTCCTCCTCCTCCTCCTCCTCACTGTTTGCACTGCACAATCCAAATTCCGTGAATTGGTGCCGGACATCACTGCAATAAAAAGTTGACTACAACTTCTCAATTGTATTCATGGAGAAACAGTCCTCTATTAACATGCAGGGGGAAGAAAACAAACATCACCAATGATCGAGTTTTAGAGTTTCTACAAAACCTGATTTATCCTGACTGATGTCACAACTCTCATTCCCCAGAGACATACCTTGCAGTTTAGCTCCTTAGTGGGAGTTTAAATTTGGGATACTTTACTAATGACTACAATTAAAACACACGGGTAATAGCATCATAAAAATAAATCAAATCCTGCAGACAATCCACCGGAACTCTGCTAGGACGCCAACCTTGATGGAACGAGATTGAGGCTGAGTGTTGATGAAAGACTTGACGACCAGTCACTGGGACAGAGAATCATCCCAGTCCTTTTGACCCTGCAAGCCAAACTCCTAACAGGTAGGGTGGACCTAGCTGGGCAAGCAGCGGGAAAGCTTACCAGACAATGATATCAATGGCAAGCTTGCAGTTTTAGCTGGTTAGACTCCAGCAGTACCCCACGCCTTGGCTCTTGCCAACCTGCACCTAATACTTTCCAAAATTAGTAAACAGGATGCATCTTGCAGGGAGAGAGTGGACATTCCATTCCAACAATCCATCTTTGGGATTTCCATGTGTAGGTGAAATGCATGGAATTCTCAGTTTGGTTTGTAAGCATGGTGATGGGTTTCTGTATGGGTCAGGATGCTGGCTGACCCCCCCAAAAATGAATGGCTTTAAGAGGGTTTTAAAATAGGCAGAGAAAGCTGCAACGAGAAGGGATTTTGGAATAGAGTTCCAGACAGCAGGGGTGTGGGTGGGTGAGTGAGAGCGTGAGTAACAGAAACACAGGGGGAAAAGTAGCAAGTACAGCTGCTCTTGTTCATCCACCAGTGACTGATTCAGAGAAGGTTGCGATCCAGGGATTCTTGATGAATTTTGTTTAAATACAAAATCATACATATGTGTATAATATATATTTCTGAACAAAAGCACATACCTAATTATTCTTCCATTTGACAGCACCAGCCGCAAGTTATTATCATTGGGATTTTTTTCAGGCACTGTTGAAGAGGGCTGTGAAGTCCTGCTGATTTTCATTTTAAATTTGGAGTTGGACACGTCCTCCTGAAAGCAAATCAAATCAACATAGAGATGAGAATAATGCGGGAAGAACAATTTCCAGGAAAAGGGGAAACCTTTGTCACTGCCGCTTTAACTGCATGAAAACCAGTGTGGAACTGTATGAAAGCCAGTGCACGACCTTACCTCGCCCCACTGTGCCATTTCCATCTTCTTCAGCACCTCTCTGGTGTGAAGCTCCAGAATGTCCAGGTCTGAGTGTACCTTGTTTGAGGGGTCCCTCAGCCTCCTGATTCTCCTCTTGCCTGGGCTTACACTGAAAGAACAACTCTTATCCTGCGAGACCCGCATGATTGGCATTGTACCCACGATTCCCTGAGATTTCACGGGTTTGCTTCCAATGCTCATGTCCTGCAGACGCACACACAGAAGGATTATAAAAGGGGTCCTTTTCGTTCCAAGAGTTCCATTTGTCTGCAGTGAGCAGGAAATTTCTAATAAAAGATTGAGGTGCTCCTTCAAAATGTTGCTCAAAAAAGAGCCATTGATTTTGCCAACATATTTTAGGTTCACACCTTCCCTTAACAACAACAACAAAATGACATTAACACATCTGACACTAACTGAAAGACTTCCATTTTGATTGCAACACAGGCAACTGCATACTAGCATCAACAGGGTAAAACATTAAACAAGTAGCAACAAATTAGATTTGTATAGCGCCTTTCATGTCAGGAGGAAGCTCTTGAGACAAGGCTTGGAGGAGACAAGGGAGGGGCAAGGCGAGGGGACTGTGGGGTGGAGTTCCAAAGAGTAAAGGCAGAAAGGCTGAAGTCCCGATCGCCAATGGTGGGGCGGGCAGGGTGGGGAATTTGGGAGCAGGCCAGAGTGGAGGGAGTGGACAGGTTGGTATGGGGTTAGCAGATTACAGAGATAGGGAGGAGCAAGGCTGTGGAGGAATTTGAGAGCAAACCACTGAACATACACCTACAGAGGTAAAGCTGAAGGCCGGATCACACTCAAAATGCTGTGTTCGCAGTTTTGGAATTTGTGGAGACAAACAATTAATATTCACGGCAAAGAAATGCCCTTGATCCAGGCTACAGTCTACAGAAACGCCTCACAGCTTCAGGCATTGAACTCTGCTCTGCCAAACAAACCCTCAACCTCACAGAGAAGCAGTTTTGTTAAATGCAGGCAGTGATATCTTCAGTCGCCTTGGTTTGCGGGATGAATCGTAAAAGGCTTTCAGATGGAGTTTACAGAGATGTCCAAGTTTTGAAGCATTAAGTGTTTTTTGATGGTGGGATTATGAATACCATTTTCCCTCCAAATTGATTTTTTTCTAAACAAATCTTCAGTTCAATGCTATCTTAGCATCTGCCATATTGAATCATTGGTAACTGAAGACGGGACTGCTGCATGTTCCCACTTGTCTAAAATCTGTCTCACCTACCAATCAGTGCGTCATGAAAGAACAGAAGCAACCAACACCCTGAGTCACTCCCACTGCGATTTAGACAGAAAATGTTTCCCCGGTTCTTTGAGCTTACTTGGGATGAATACAAGCAGTTTAGCAGTTGTCTTCAACTGTGTCTTTGGCCACCCTCCTACCCTCCCCACTCCCTGATTGCAACACTCCTGTTCGGGTCCAAATCCCTGAGTGTTCAGTGCCTTGGGACATCTTCCCGACATCAAAAGTACAAATGTAATTTTGTATTGTAGTCTTTGTTGTCTTATCAACTTATTGGACACTGGACCAACCGATGGGACATGGTGGTCGGCGTCCCCAAGTGCAACATCATGTTTCTGCATGGCCCAAGGGAAGACATTCAGGGAATTGATTGGAAGATACAAGGGGCTTCAGTCCCAGTATCTTATCAGTACCTCAGGGTCTCGGTGGACACAAACTTCAGCCTGGACATTGTCCTGAAGGGCTGTGCTGAGAAGGGATGAAGGGCACTCTGGTCATGCTCATCCTTCTTCAAGGACAGCAAGATCCCAAGGTCCCGTAAAGGTCGGCCCACCACGCTGAAGGCAGATGCCTGCCACATAGCTGATAAGCAAACTCTGAGGCTTGGGGCGATAGCTACCTGGAGTCCTAGTTCGTGAACGCACGTTCGTACGTCTGGAATCCACCTTGATTTGCCTGCTGCTAGGAAGACAGTGGCAATTCTCGCACACATTTCATGCTGAGATCCGTTGCCCACCGGGAAGCTCGCAGGGAGTTATTGGTACCTACCATCCACCTGGTAAGGGCTAAAACCCGCGCTTGTCAGATATCGAACGACCAAATAGTGACTGCCTCGGGGGGGTGGGGGAGGGGGGTGGAAGGAAGGTAAGCAGGGCCTCCTTGGTACTGAACTGACTCCAAGGTGACATGCCTGGCAATGGAATGTCAGAATCGAGCCAGACCTCTGTGGCAGTCTGGTTCCTCTATGGTAGTCCGGTTCCAAAGCAAGGCAGGTCCACAGTATTCCAGGGCACTGCAGATGCAACATAGGCAGGACCTAGAAGGGCAGACCAGTCTCTGAGGGCAGGGAGACATCCCACTCAGCCCCTGTTAATCCTGCAAGCCAAAGCCCTAATGGGTAAGGTGGTCCTAGCTGGACAAGCAGCAGGAAAACTTGTCTGACAGCAATATCAAATACAATACAAATGGCAAGCTACGTTGTTTTAACTGGTTAGATTCCAACAGTTACCCCAATACGTGCTCTGGGGTCCCCATGCTTTGACTCTTGCCAACCAGCGCCTAATACATTCCAGAATTAGGTAAGTAGGATGCGTCCCCCAGGGAGAGAATGAACATTCCAGTCCAACAAACTATCTCTGGGATTTCCATGTGTAGGTGGGATGCATGGAAATCTCAGCTTGTTTTGGATACTCTTAAGCATGGTGATAGGTTTCCGCATGTATCAGACATCCGGCTGACCAATTTTTTAAAAATTATCAATTCATTGCAACATATCTAGAGGCAGCACAGCAGGATGTATAGTCCAACAGCTTAACACTGCAATCATTCACCATTATAAAATAAAAAGATCCATTTTGCTCACATACAATTGTAATTCTTTGCGGGCCGGACACAAACCTGATTTAGATCTTAAGTTAATTTCAATTGTTGGAATCAGGATGCTGGGTACAGTTGTTCTATAACATCTTAGAAATAACTTCTCTCCAACCTATTGCACAGAAAAGCTGCAGTAATATCAAAACAGCTTTCTGTTGGCTGTATCCTGCACTGCCCTCGTTTGTCAAAAATGCAAAAAAAAATTATACACGTAAAGTGCAGTGACTGTAATCCAATGGGTAGGTTCAAATGGATTTTGAAATGGATGTTTCAAATGCAAACTTTATCTTTCAAGAGTTGATAAGAAAACAAAAACAGCTAGTAAACTGCTCGTATTCAGTCCAAGTGAGCTCAAAGAACTGGGGAAGTATTAAATCTGGAATGCCATACAAACAGTCTTGAGGAGCAGTAGTTCTATTGGGATTGTACACAGTGGGAGTGACTGGGGCAGGGGCTCCATTATCTGTATATACCAACCTTCCACTATAATTCCTTGAACAGTGCTAGTCCAGACTTGATTTTTTCACATCAAGGCACTTCAGGTGTGAATTTAAATGGGATTTCTTTGAAGTAAGTGACACACAATATGTGAACTTGTGCAGGAGTGAAAGTCTAAAATTCTTCTTCGATCTATCTTTCTCTATACTAATAAAATGACAATAGTCTGTTTACACTTCAAGAAGCATCTCAATAACCGACTGACATAGAGACATGATTTATATCGGAAGGGAGTGACGTGGGCATATTATTTTCGGGTGCCTCCTATTGTTCATGAATTATTTTCAATTCTGCATTTCTCGCTGTAGTTACACCTGGTGGCCGCCGAGTCAAAGTGGCACTTTGAGCACCTACGTGTGCACACACACACTGCAGTTACACCTGGTGGCTGCGCCAGCTGACTGTGGTGCTGTGGCAATCCTGCATCACAGATCAACACGTAGCCAAGCGGCAGCGGGAACAAAATAAAGAACACGGACGAAGCTAAGCCGCAGCAACAACAAAAGTACATTTTTAAAACGAGTCCTCCCAAAAGAAGTCCTCCCAGGTGAGTATAGATAAAGATGAATTGTCTGTCTGTGTGTCTACATTCCATATTGGATCTTTTGATTGTAAGCGAAGCTGCAACTGGTGCAGATAGTTTTCATATAAAAACATATTTTTACTGTTGTACGATGTTCCCAATAGATCAAATACTCATCTGAAAATGCACATCGTGCTTTGCAACTTCCTAGGTAGATTATGCTGCTTTAAGCCAAAGCATCAATCAGCCATCACTCAGAGGGCAAAAGCTTTTGGTTCTCTTACCCTCAAAAGACACTTCCTGAAGACTCCTGCTCAACCACAGACATTCAGCAGGGAACCTGCACAATTGCCCATCACTTTGGAGATTCTAGCACATTTCTCAGTTAGACACGCTTCACGTTTCTACTCTTACCTCCAAGAAACGAATCTCCTTGTCGAGCTCTTTAATAAGCTGCCCTGGTCGTATCTGATCTGGGATTTCATATGTGTGCTCCATCAGCACCTGGTGATGATAAAAAGGTGTTGTCAAAGATGATAAAAGCACCAGACTGAAACACTGAGTGTTCATAAAAACAGTTCAATATTATTGTCACACCCACCCTACCACCAAAATAAAGCATCTTCAGGATGAAAGAGAGAAAGGAGAGGGAAAAAACAATTCAACAAAATCACAATTATTCTGCACATGTCTACCATGGGGGAGCTGTGTTTCAATGTCCTCCATTGAAGTAAGCTGGCCCAAGATTTCTATCTAATTTCTGCTTTGCAACAGCCAATAGATTTCGCAGAAAAAATGAACATTTTCACTGCACCTGTAACATTAAAATGTCTCCAAGTGCTTCCAAGCAATTCATGGCATTACAGTGGCAGTTTTAGTAAACAAATACAGTTTCCATTTGTATCAGCAAAGTGACACAAACAGTCACAATAATTCTTCCATTCGATATCACCCTTAAGAGGTCGTGATATTAAGCGCTCCAAGTCGCCATCCTGAGTGAAGGGTGCTATATAAATGCAAGTTGTTGTTGTAATCAGCAATTTATTTAGAAGATAGTTGGCCACAACACGGGGAGAAACTGCCTTCTGGTTTCAAACATTGTGTGATCTTTTATGTCATCTGAAGAACAGACAGAAGGCAGCTGTCATGAAGTTTCCACTGAATAAAATCTCAAAAAATGCAGCAGTTCATTTCTTTGCCTCCACCCCAGTACAACACTGAACAATCAAGTCCCAAAATTTGTTTCTGATCTGTTTATTTCCTGACATCTTTCATACTAAAGTCAATGCACAGAACACAAAGTGGTGCTTAATAATTCTCCAATTTCACACAGAAGGAAACGGGAGTGAAAAAACAAGTTTCTCTTTTGTGCTCAAATCCTGACAGCTACAAGAAATGAGTATTAACTGTTGCCACTGCTTCGTATTTTAAAGTTTTAAAACATTAAATGCAGTTACAGGACAGATCTACTCAGGCACTCCCCCACCGGCCCCCCCACCAAACACAATCCCCACCCCGTAGTAATACCACATAGCACTGCTCTTTAAATCGTAAAACATACAACAGTCATCTGGAGTACAGACCCATGTCCATCACAGCAACAACAGTCTGTGTGGCAAATTAAGAATTCAGTGTACTTTCAGCAAAATAATGTTAGAGCAAAACAATATTAATCAACTAAAACAAATATGAAAGTTCAAGAATAATGAAATACAGAAAAGCTGTCCAACGCAACTCTCCCACGCATTTCGCCTCTTGTGGCGAGGAGCCTGGTTTATACTGTGAATCTTCCCATAGCAGCACAATGAGACTTGATTGAACTGGGAGTTCAGAAACTGAAATGCGCTTCACAAACACTGCCCTGGGGTGCACAAGAGTGGGATTGGCTTAGAACAGGATTCTTGCCTGCTGTGACGAAGTATAGAGGACAAGACTGGAATAAGTGGAGGCCATTCAACCCATCGAGCCTGTTTGTTGCACATTTCAACTCACCAAGCCAGTCAGGAACCTAGGTGACTTGTTCGACCCTCAACTGTCTTTTCTTCCCCACATCCAAGCCATGACCCGCTCTGCCTTCCCTCACCTCTGTAACATTGCCCGACTCCGCCACTACCTCACCCCTCAGGCCGCGGAAACTCTTGTCATGCCTTCATCACCTCCAGGCTCGACTATGCAAACGCACTGCTTGTCGGCCTTCCCAACTCCTCCCTCCACAGGCTGTAGATAATCCAGAACTCTGCAGCCCGTGTCCTCTCCCGCACCAAACTCCATGACCCCATCTCCCCCATTCTAGCCTGACTCCATTGGCTCCCTATCCTTCAGAGGATCCAGTTCAAGATCCTGGTCCTCACCTACAAAGCCCTCCACAGCCTCCCCCCACCCTACCTCTGCGACCTCCTAACCCCCTATCAACCCGCCCGCTCCCTCCGCTCAGCCAGCTCTGGCCTGTTCCACGTTTCCTGACCCGCCTGCTCCACCATTGGCGGGGGAGAGCCTTCAGCCACTCTGCCCCCAACCTCTGGAATTCCATCCCCCAATCACTCCGCCTCGCCCCCTCCTTAGCCTCCTTCAAGTCCCGCCTCAAAACCCTCCTCTTCGACCATGCTATTGGTCATCCCTTCCTCTCCCTTCTCCCCCCCCCGACTCTGCTCGGGTCTGAAATGCTGTACTCTGTCCAGCGCCTTGGGATGTCCTCCCGACGTGAAAGCCATTAAACAAATGTATCTTGTGTTGTTGTTGTTTGTTGAGCTCATTAGGGAATGGAAGATCATTTAAACCCATTTCTCCATCCCTACCCAATCCTTCTTGACATCCATTATTTCCAAGTATATATCTACAGTATTTCCTTTTTGAACATCCCAAATTGATTCTGGCCTCTTTAGGGAAGGGCTTTCTACATTATCACAAGCGGCTGTGGTCTCTGATCTCCAACTAATTTATCTCTAATTTTGCATACAAATTACAGTCATTGAACTTAACAGTATTTCATGTGAAGTGCTTTTGGACTTCCTTGTGACGTGAAGGGCATTAAATCATAGGCAAGGGTTATAATAATAATTTTAAAGCTATTTCAAAGCACCTTGCCACAAGTGATACTGTCTTCCAGCAGCGCAGTGCCTCATAGCTTCAGCACATCACACCAAATGTATTATTTTACCTCCTTCTGAATCCAGGATTTAAGCGCAGGGATCAGATACTTGATACCTTCCACCATGTAGTTCTGAGGCTGGCAGTTGTCCTCCCTCAATTCTAAATACAGAATTAAACAGAGTCACATTTAATCTCCAAATCATTAAACCATTTGAAAAAGTAAAGAACAAAAACCACAATCTTTTTCACATTATAAAGCTCTAAATGACCAACATACAACTGCGCTGGCTAAACGCCAGGGTCTATGCAGTTAATGCACATTTCAAAGGTGAAACACATTTCTCGATATTTGAATGGAGATGGCTTATTTCTCACTTTCCTTTACTTCATTGTCATCTTGCTTTATTCTCATCTCCCTGCATCACATTCCCTCCTGGAGTAGTGGTTGAGGCAGAGTACATTTTAGCTTTCAAAAGGGAACTCAGGTAAATAAATACCTGTAAAGGAGGAAACTTCAGAGTATGGGGAAAGGGCATGCAAATGAGACTGAAAGGATTGCTCTTCATGAGAATGAGCCATTCATTCGGTATGCATTCGGTAGTTGCTCAACATCTGTACACAATGATACCGTCATGTCAAGTGGTGTATTCACTGTACAGAGAAGTCACAAGCACGAACTTGCCTGGAGAGCAGCGAGGGGGAAGCTCCAACGCACTGCCCACTTTTTAGGCCAAATCTCACTGCCCGGAAAAAACTCTCAGGAGATATTCTGTATACAAGCGTATGTGAGCACAGTACATTCTGTGAATTTTCTCAAAGAGCATGCCAAAAGAACAAGCATATATTGTATATTCAGACAAGCAGAAATATCTGCTTAGAACTTTCAAACTGAATCTGAAAGGCACCAAACCTCCCAATCCAATGAGGGTTTAACATTACAAACATTGTTTTTTTCCAGTAGCAAACAATTGACAATACAGAAATACCCATTTTGCCCACTTGACCACAGTGCTCCTGTGCAACACTTTCATTGTCTCCGCAGAGCTCATCCTTTAATGCAGCGAGCTGAGGGTTACTCGCTGTGCAAATGTATGGGGTTTCTGCCTATGCATTCAGTAAGAGTTTGACCAGCAGAGGGCTTGAGGGTTTGATGTCTGTCAGAGCGGTTTACTCTTGTTGTTTCGCTCTTACCAGCTTTGCGTACCTTTTAATGTTTCCTGAAGGCTCTTTGCCACATACCAGCAAATTGCTTCAAAGTATGGGAACTTGAAAAGCTCCGGAGTCTTTAACCGTTTCTCCATTTCATATACCCTGGAAATGGAAGTCACAGTTCAGAGTTAAAACTTAATGACTCCATTGAGTCCTGTAGTGTGTTGGTTGAAGCACTCGCCTCAGAAGCTAGAGGACCTGGGTTCATTCCCGGGCAGGGCGAAATCTTTGGCAAGTTTCCTAACTCCACACACCTCTGTTTACCTAGCAGTAAGTAGGAACCCGGCTGTTAGTCAATTGTCAGAAAGTTTTCTGGGGATTACAATCCCTTCAAAAAAAAATTAAATAAAATAATAATAATTTGGCCACTCAATTGGTCATTCGCAATTGGCTGCCGAGTTTCGCCCACAAAATATACAGTCAATTCACTTTACAGTATATTGTGTGAAGCGCTTTGAGACATCTCAACAATGTGATAAGGCGCTATATCAAATGCAAGGATTATTATTTTTATTAATGACAACCACATAAAGAACTCCCTCCAGCTTGGTGGGGGTGGGGGGAGAAAGGCAGAAAATAAGAAATGGAATCTCTGAGCTACCCCTCCACTTTATACTGTTAGCAGTGAGTATGCTGACCATATGCTGGTCACAGTGTACATTTCACTGAGGTTCGCAATGTGAAGTTGACACTTAGGGGCGTCATCCAAACAGACTCCATTAGAAAGTGACCCAACCCTGACCTGGTGTTTTCTCTGACACTGAGGATAGCCACATTTCTGATTCAGTTGCAGTCAGGACTGTTTAACAGATATTGCTGGTCACTAATAACGGAATGAACAAGTTATGCAAATTGCCCGTTTCCGTGTTGAAACTTTGTGTGTAAGTCTTTGTAATTTTTATGCACAAATTATATTTTAGCCTCCCTACGGTTGTAATTTGTCACTCTACAACATAATCCAGTGAAACAGATACAATTAAAGGGAGCAATGTCATTAGGCAAGTTAGAGGTCTGCCAGGAATTGTTCTCTCTGGGTGTCGAAGGCAGTAGACAGAGGCCAGTCACTAACCTGATTTGTGTGCGAATGTTGAGATTGTGCAGGAAGTTTCCACCAAAAGCCATGCAATCCTTGGAAGTTATAACACCATGGATCCAGCCTGGGAGATCAAGACAAAACAAAGGTTAAAAAAATTGCTCACCTTTTCCCAACATTTCAAGTGGATATTTATGCACAAGCTGATGTCTCTTGCACTGAAAATTCATTCCAGGAGGTTGTTACCAATATCTACAGTACATGTGTGACCTGTAGGGTTCCTCCACTTTTTATTTTCCATTTCATTCTAGATAGCATTTCATTTATCTATTCAAGATAAATTATTCTAGATCTTCATTTCGCTCACAAAAAAGTCAAAATCACTTTACAGTGCATCTTGTGAAGCGCTTGGAGACATCTCGACTACATGATAAGGCGCTACATCAAATTTAAGGATATTATTAGATATGTTCTAGTTTGGAACAGTTCAGACTGCACTGCATTTGATAAAAATAAATGTCTTTGATGGGGCTGCAAAAAGTAATGGTCTCCCACAACTGGTCTCCAAGTACAGTACATTTGTTCCATAGGAGCTGAGCTAATGACAGGGCAATGTGGGGCTTGTCTTTGTTCACCACCACCTTCACTCCTGTCTCTCACATGAAATGAGGCATCTGCAAAGCTCCGGGAGATTACATACTTTTTGACTTCTGTGGGACCCAAAGGAATGTCTGTTTGGCTGCACAGCCTTTTAAGTGATGTAGAAAAAATACCCAAGCACACGCAAAGGCAGGTTTAACACAAACAAGTACTGTTGGCACTAAAGTCATTTTTAGCTTGCCTAAGTTGAGAGCAAACATAAACGTGGTTTGAATTCAATCTGACCTGACACTAACCTCAATGACCGATGTCAAAACAACTTCAAAAGCTGCCGCAGCTTGCACTGTGCTTTTACACTGAGTTCAGTTTGCAGCCACGCTCAGTCTAGCTATTTCTGCCTTTTGCAGAAAAGTTTCAATTAACCTCTTCCTGAATTGTTCTGTTGGCTTTCAGATTCAGATGAAGACACAAGTTCCTTGTCACCAGCTCAGTGTAACACCATTAGAAATTTGTACACGATGGATGATTATAAAAAGTACACAGAATTTTTTTTTATTGTTCCATGAAAGTGATCGGAAACAGAAGATGATGACAAAGGTTTTCAAGATTTCCTATACTCAGCATTCGCTCATTTCTTTTTGATAAGAGTACATAGATTCTTTCAAAGGGAAATTAAAATACATTCTTGAAGAGTAGAAATATTCAAGGGAAGTGAGCAGCAGAGTAGCATTAGAGGAGGTAACTCAAGGGAGACCAAAAAACTTGATAGATCAAATGAATTATTTTTGATTTCTACGAATTTAGAAATAATAATTCTTGTATTTGATATTGCACATTTATCATATGAAAACATAGCGAAAGGCTTGTCAAGATTTGCTGCGCATTTTGCAGGCAAACACAGCAGCCAATTTGCCCACGGCAATATCCCACATATTTACAAAGTAAATGGCCAATTTCAACTGGAGGATTTTCTTTTCAAATTGTGTATGGGATTTTTCATTAACCCTGCAAGCCAAAGCCCTAAAGGATAGGGTGGTCCTAGCTTGAGAAGCAGCAGGAAAGCTTGCCAGACAGTGCTCTCAATGGCAAGCTAATATACAGTCAATTCACTTTACAGTCTATTCTGTGAAGCGCTTTGAAACATCTAGAAGACGTGAAAAGCGCTCTTATCAAATGCAATGATCATTGTTATTATTATTATTATTATTATTATTATGGGGTATTAGCTGATTAGACTTCAGCAGTACCCCACTGCACACTCTGGGATCCCCAAGTCTTGGCTCTTGCCAACCTACGCCTAATACTTTCAGAATTAGGTAAGCAGGATACATCCCTCCAAGGAAAGAATGCACATTCCATTCCAACAATCTATCTTTGTGGAGTCCTGTAGCTCAGTGGTTAGAGCACTCGCTTTGCAAGCAAGAGACCTGAGTTCAATTCCAGGCAGGGCGAAACCTTGGGCAAGTTTCCTTACTCCACACGCCTAATAATAATCCCTCCAAAACAAAACAATAATAAATTGGTCATTTTCAATCTACGACTGTTTGTGGGACATTGCTGTGCGCAATTGGCTGCCGCGTTTGCCCACAAATATACAGTCAATTCACTTTACAGTGTGTTCTGTGAAGCGCTTTGGGACGTCCTCCCGACGTGAAAAGCGCTATATCAAATGCAAGGATTATTATTATTATTATTATCTTGGGAATTTCCATGTATAAGTGGGATGCATGGAATACTTTCACATTTCAGAAGCCATCGTCAGGTACAGTGTCAGGCAGTTGAAGGCCTCAATCCACCCTTCCAATGCTGTGAACATGGATTCTCTCACTTCACCAGTGAGAAAGCTTTCTCTGAGAGCTAGTGCAGACTCGATGTGATGAATGGCCTCCTTTTGTGTTAGATCTATACAGTGTTCTCTGTGAAGCGCTTTGAGATATCTCAAGGACATCATAAGGTGATATATCAAATGCAAGGATTATTATTATTAACAACATCAGTGGGAGGCTTAGACTCTGGTTCATTCAATGCGATTAATATCACAAAGACAGCGAAGGCCACCCATTCTGCTATACCTTCTTCCCATCTGCATTAAAACAGCAAAGCTTTTCCATTTTCTGAGCCTTTCTCGTTGTTACCAAGCAAACCAAATACCATCTGTGACTTTCTGGTCTTTGCATCGTTTCATGACCAGCCTGACTATACAACCCCCCGCGGGGGTACAACCAAACCCCCGCCCCTGCCGTACAACCAACCCCCCGGCCCCCTGACCGTACAACCACCCGCCCGCCCGCCGCCTGACCGTACAACCACCCCGCCCCCCCCCGGCCTGGCCGTACAACCCCCCCCCCGCCGCCTGGCAGTACAACCACCCCCCCCCCCACCGCCTGGCTGTACAACCCCCGCCTGACCGTACAACCCCCGTCTGACTGTACCTGTAGGAATGAGGAGTGTGTTTCCCTGTCGCACAACACATTTGTAGCATCGGTCGACGCGATCTCCGAAGAACACCTCACTCTGGTTGACAGAAGAACTCCAACTTTCATAAAGTGCAAGATTTGCATTGGTTGGCTTGATCAAGTAAAAGATTTTTTCACCCTGCAAAGAAGAAAACACTTGACTGCCACTTTGACAGAAATTCAGTGCTTTTTTCTGAGGCTCTCATTGTCACATTGCCCGGTTTACTAAAAGTAATTTAACAATGACAACAACAACAAATTACACTGGTATTCTGCCCTGTAGCAGAATTCAAAATTTACTTTGAATTTAAGTCAACAGACAGCCAAGTAGATTAGAAATGAGTAATTTTATGGGAACAAAATCAAAGTTTTAATAGCACTGAATTATTTCCATTACTGTGCTCTGGACTTAACACATGATTTGATTGGTAAGAATGTCTGAGACATGCTATCCACTGAGACACGGCCAGTTATCTAAATAGATCAGTTAGTATCCAAAACACGCTATGCAAACATCTGGACCAAACGTCTGGGTAGAAGCCAAGACAAAAGATACCACACAAATATCTGTCCCAAAATACAAACCTAAATACACTGAGAGTTTGGGTACAAGCAATATCCCTTTCCTTTTTCTAAGAATGTGCCACCAAGCAGGGTAAATGAAGGTTACACTGTCTCCAATCTAGTCTTAGTGAGAGCTCACCAGACTGCAGTCTTCAGTTTTGTCTTGCTCCTTCTGACCATATCTGCAGCAAAGAAAGTTCCCGAGCCTGTGGTATGAGCTTTCTTGGTAAACATGGCAGCAGTACAAATAGAGCCATCCTAGAACTGAACGTGTCTGAAAACATTTCAACTGGTAAACAGTGCTTCTGATCTGAAAGATCTAATGCTGCCAACAACACTGTACCATACACTTCATATAACACAGAGATGTTAGGATATGGAACGCCCTGCCAGGAGCGGTGGGTGAGGCACATTATAGATGAGCCTTCAAAAGGAAACTAGATAAATATCTAAAAGAGTCAATGAAAGGGGTATGGGAAAAGGGTAGGTAAATGGGACTGAAAGCATTGCTCGGTAATTCAGTGATGCTGTACTTTCAAATTCACATGTGTAGTATTGCAGAATTCTTGCCAGCATGTAGCGAGGCACGAGGCAATGGCTGACAAGCCAAACCACTTTTCTCTCAGTGGTGAGACCAATAATCAGGATGGAGTGTTGTAAAGGCAAGAAAAATTGTTCAGCTAAAGGCGGCTGATTTAGTTTGTATTTTTGACAATATGGGTCAATCATCTGCAGTGCTAACAGAGAAAAACCTTATACAGCTCAAATCAGAGATAAAACGTAGGACCTTCCTGCTCTGCATGGCTGAAAACTACAAATCACGGTGCAAGCTTTTACCCAAATTTATCCATATTCATCTACTGAGCCATCTTTGAGATTCGTTCCTCCCTCCATCACCTTTGAAACATCAATAATATGTCTAGCTCAATACCAACAGAATTGGGAGGGTTTGGATCTTCCGTTTTTGTGCTCTTACCCATAGAACGTGGTACCAAACTGAGGTGCCCCCAAAGTCGATGTGAAAATCTGTGTAACTGTCCTTCACTCCCATGAGGCAGTATTTCTGAACATAGGGTTTAGGGAAGAATGAATCCTCTGGCCAGTAATTCTCCACCCAGGATAGTTTCTTCACGATATCAGGAACTTCAACCAGCTCAGCCATCCTGCATGCACACAAAATAGAAGATTCACATTGTGCCATAACTGATTGTTGTAGACAAACACAGCAGCCATATTGTGTACAGTAAAGTTTGATAACATTTTATCTGGGCAATTGTTAACCTGGACACCAGGAGAAACTCCCTTCTCCCTTTTTTAATTGTGCTGCAGGACAGAAAGCAGAGAGTAGTAGTGAATGGTTGTTTCTCTGACTGGGTTGGGGGAAGTATACAGTGGTGTCCCCCAAGGGTCAGTATTAGGATCACTGCTATTTTTAATCTATAGAAATGCGCTGAACCTAGGAAATAGAGAGTACAATTTCCAAGTTTGCAGATGATGCAAAGCTAGGAAAAGTAGTAAACAGTCAGGTTAGTTGCAGACTGCAAGAGGACATAGACAGACTGGTGAAATGGGCAAACACACGGCAGATTAAATTTAATGAGGAGAAATGCAAAGTGATGCATTTTGGGAAGAAGAATGAAGCGAGGTAACACAAGCTGATGGGAGAATCTTAAAGGGGGTGAAGGAACAGAGACACCTGGGGTTCACATAAGCAAATCTTTGAAGGTGGCAGGATAGGTAAATAAAGCTGTTAAAAAATACGGGATCTTACTCTATAATACTTTATAAATAGGGGCATAGAATACAAAAGGAGGTTATGATGTTCAGGTTACCTTTATAAAACACTGGCTCAGCTAGATTACTGTGTTCAACTCTGGGCACCACACTTTAGGAAGGATGTCAAGCCATTGGAGAAGGTGCAAAGGAGATTTACCAGGATGGTACCAGGAATGAAGGACATACATCAGTTATGAGGTGAGGCTGGAGAAGCTCGGATTATTCTCCTTGGAGCAGAGAAGGTTAAAGAGAGATTTAATAGAGGTGTTCAAAATTATGAGGGAATTTGATTCGATAGGGTGAACAGGGAGAAACTGCTTCCACTGGCGGGTGGGTTGGTAACCTGAGGACACAGATTTAAGATAGTTGCCAAAAGAACCAGAGGGGAGGAGAAATTTTTTCACACAGCGAGTTGATCGGATCTAGAATGCATTGCCTGAAAGAGTGGTGGAAGTTCGATAACAACTTTCAACAGAGAAATAGATAGATATCTGGGGGAGGAAAAATTTGCAGGGCTGTGGGGTGAGAGCGGGGGAGTGGGATTAATTTGGACAGTTCTTTCAAAGAGCTGGCATGGACATGATGGGCCGAATGGCCTCCTTCTGTGTAATTCTATGATTCTATGTTTCATGCCCTTGTGAAGAACAGGCAACAACAACAACAAGATTTCATTTATAGAGCGCCTTTCACGTCGGGAGGACGTCCCAAGGCGCTGGACAGTTGGGTCGGGACCCGAGCAGGGGGGAATTGGTCAGGGTGAGGGGAGGGAAGGGAGGGAGCGAGGAGGGGGTAGAGAGTCGAGAGGGGAGCTGAAGGCACGGTTGAAGAGAAAGGTCTTGAGACCGTCCTTGAAGGAGGAAGGGGAGGAAGCAAAGCGAAGGCACTGGGGGATGGAGTTCCAGAGCCTAGGGGCTGAGAGGCTGAAGGCCCGGCCACCGATGGTAGGGCGGTTAGGGCGGAGGATGTGGAGCAGACCGGAGCCAGAGGAACGGAGGGTATGGGCAAGTAAGTAGGAGGATAGTAGGTCGGAGAGGTAGGAGGGAGCAAGGCCTTGTAGGCAAGGATGAGGATCTTGAACTCGATCCTCTGGGGGATGGGGAGCCAGTGGAGGTGAGCGAGGGTGGGAGTGATGTGGTCGCGAAGCCTGGTGCGGGACAGTACACGAGCTGCAGAGTTCTGAATGATCTGCAGCTTGTGGAGGGAGGTGCCGAGACGGGATCTCATTTCAACATACAAAATATGTCAAATCCAACAATACAGTAATCTCCAAGGACTGCACTGTGGTGTCAGGTCAAACTTGGGGATTGAAATCACAATCTTATCACCCAGAGGCGCGAGCTCTACCAACTGCGGCAAGCTGTCACACACATGGTTATTAAACCATTAAAAAAATTAAATGACCCAGAGCAGAATATTTGGATGAAAGTTTCAATACAAGGCTGTGTAAGGAAGTGGGATTCCTGCCAGAAAGCTGTCAAGACAAGGAGCTCCAGCTCCCTGGAGCACATTGACCAGATGTGTATTTACAGAGAAGCATCTTATGCAGCAGTTAGAGCTTTTAATGCACTTAAAAAAAAAACAATATAACCTTCAACACAGGCTTGAACTTGATTAAAGTGACAGGGAAATCCAGCTCCTCCTCTCCCCAAGGATGAATAATGAACGAAGAAAAGGCCGAGTGTACAGTTCAAGTCAGCAACTGCTAAGACAAAGGGTTTTTTGTACCTTTAGAAATTCGACTAAGGGATGTGCAAGAAACAGAGAGAACAGAGATGGTACAGAGTTCAGTTTGCTGATAATTATCAGCGGATCTATTTGAATTCCTGGAAAAAACTCCCAAATTCTCTTGACTTTGCACCTTCTCACCCCGACCTTCAAAATATATTATTATGCATGCATTTCAATAACATCCTAAACCTCCTTCTTCCCATCCTAATCAGTGCATTGCACTATCTTTGCAAATCCTTTCAACATATTATCTAACTGCAAGTTACTGTTTTGTCAATTAGCAATAAGCAAACATGTTCTGGATTCAAGCGTTATTACAACACTAGCTGGCTTGTCATTACGACTATGACAGGATGGCTGCCTCGTAAATGTTCTTCATTGACTAACATGCGCACAGATTCCAGGGTCAATATTTAAATCCCAGAAGAAAACAAATGTTGCCACCGATGGAACAAAGCAGAGGAGCTTGGGAAGCAGTTGCAGCGACTGTTGGGAGAAGTTCAAACCAAGCATCTTCACTGAGCAGTTGCGGTTACTTAACATCTGTTACAAGCGTTCTCAATGACTCAGCTGGCGAAAGTGTGAAACCGAGCCACAGATCCAGGCTTAGACCCTGGTCTCTGATGAGCTACCTGGGTTAGCACTGGGAGCAATAGAATTAGTGTCAAGACACGGAGCATAATTCTGTGGCTCCGCTTTAAGCGTGAGTGTGTACATTTTAGCTAAGGATCAGCATTGCTTGCGACGGCTCCCAATTTTGAAGAAAAAAACATTTGGACATCAAGAACAATTTGCAATTATATTGCAACCTTCATGGCATAGCATCTCAGAGAGTTTTGCATAGTTTGAAGACGAGCAGAGAGAAAGGGGAAGTGCCGATAGGCGTGGTTAAAGAGAAAAGTCTTCAGGTGCGATCTGAAGTTGGGCAAAGACAGTTGGCCACTTGGACATGGCACAAGAGGTTTCCCATTAACCTGGAACCCTGCAGCCAAATTAGAACATTGTCTGAAAGGGCATAAGTAACTTACCAATGCCAAGTCATTCACGACATCAGAGAGAATGCACTAAGACTCTGTCATTCGCCAAATTTGCCCCCCCCCTTCTCATCCCCACAAAGTTGGTTAAGTTGGTGATCAAGGAGGTGGGGGGGGGGGGAGGGAGGGAGAGAGAGAGAGAGAGAGAGCTTTTCAGTGCACATTTCTAAATTGTGCAAATGCCAGCAGATGAAAAGGTGTGAAAGGAGGGAAAGTAAAAATGTACATTGATCATTGAAACAAACAGGGAAACTGTCCAGGACAACATCTCTTAATCCTATAGTTGATGTTAAAAGAGTGCTTGTTGAAAGATTTTAATGCAGCAGAGCATTTTTCTATTTCTCAAGATAAAGACAGGTATCACAAGGTGTTCTGTGAAGCGCTTTGGGACGTCCTCCCGACGTGAAAAGCGCTACATCAAATGCAAGGATTATTATTATTATAAGGTTGTCACACAAATGGGTCTCAAATTATTGCATAAGCTGTTTGAGCTTTACGGTCATGATTTACAATACCTGGAGCCCCTCAGGTGTTGCACTGCCAGGCCTCCATTATATGTAAGCTTCAGTATTCTCTTGTGATGTGCAATTAAATAAATCCTAATGTTACTGCTGCTGAAGCCATGTGGTACAATACCACTTCTGTTCAAGTGATCCAATTCATTTTCCCGGAGCTCTCAGCCAGGACATGCCCACTGGCAAGAAAGCTTACAGTGAAATTCATAAACAAAAGGCAGTCATGTAAAACCTCATATTCTTCAATGGATTACTGTGCTGCAACACTAGTCAATTGGCACACTAAGTTATTACACCACCTCTCTCCAGCAAACAAAGTAACATTTGTTGCTTTCAAATGGGGTTTTAATGTTGAAAGGATCTACTCAGCAAGTTCTCTGTCCCTCTCCCCCAGCTAACATTGACATACCACAACGTCACCATTTGCGATACAGGACAATTGGAATTAGTTTTAGATATATTGACACCATGTTTAGTTTACAAAATAAAGTGAGCAACACCAACTGCATCATTCAACTTCCAAAGAAGCTTCATCCCAAATGTTATCCTTCAAGTAGACATAACGGTAACTGTTTTGGTCAGCCAGGTAATAATAATAATAAACCTTGCATTTGATATAGTGCCTTATCACGTCATTGAGACGTCTCAAAGCGCTTCAACTATTTGTGAGACACTGCTGTGTGCAATTGTGAGTGTCAGCCTCTTGTCAACACTCTTTCCCCCCCACTCCATGGAACAAGGACCAAAAAAACAAGTGATCCTACGAGTTAAAGGGACAGTCACGGTGGGGGGAGGGGGGGAGAGAGAGCTGTAGTGACATTTGTGATGTCACTTCCCGCCCGCTATTCTCATTAACACAGCATAGAAAATCATTAACACAGGGATACAAACTCGCAGGGATGTCAAATGTTAGGGAGTGTGTGGGAGTGCGTGCACACTCCTCGGGAGGGGGTGGCGGGGTGGGGGTGTGGAGAGGCAGAGAGAGAGAGGGAGGAAACTAGGAACGTTCTCCCCTCACACCTCCTCCCCCCATCCCATCCGCTCAAACTCCGATCCACTTCACTTTGCGTCGCCACTCAGCACAATGTAGGGTGTTTTCTGCGCTTTCTGTTTCTCCTGTAGCAACTCCACTGACCCCAGTGCAGACATAAGAATTATCTAAAAGGAGATATTTAACAAACAGCCAATAAAGTGTATCTGAAAAAGAATGCATCATAATTTAAAAATGATATACAATTCAACATTAGTTAATATTTGGTTGTGTGCACAGTAACAGTATGCAAAGATATTGCTGAACATCATTCCGCAAGCTCAACTTACTTTGTGTCGGAAAACTCCAGGCTAATGACATTTAAGACTTTATTTCGATGAGGGTCAGTGTAATACTTTACAAAATCGTGGAGTTTCATCTTTGAGTCAGCCTGACGAGCCACATCGATCACATCAATCACTTTGTCACCACCTGGAGAAAAGTTAGTTAGTCTCCACATTTATCATGAATTATCCATTATTTCTTTTAAAAAAAAAAGGAATTTAAACAAAGCTGCTGCCAATATTGATGCTCATTGAGGCCATAATGTACTCCTCAGATTGGCCATACAATAATAATCTGTGCATTTGATATAGTGCCTTATCATGTCATTGAGACATCTGAAAGCGCTTCACAGAATATACTGTAAAGTGGATAGACTGTATATTTTGTGGACAAACTCAGCAAGCAATTGCACACAGTGTTCGACAAACAGTTATGGATTGAGTGAACAAATTATTATTATTATATTTTTTACTTTTGATCACTTGATCAGTGAAATATTTTCACCAACAAGGTTCTGCAACCTCCACCTTGAATAATTCAACTCCTAAGACTATTCCTCTCACTTTCTTTCCAGCTGCAAAAATTGCCCACATTCCAATGTCCAATAACTTTGCTTGTGCATGTTGCTTTTTACCTAATCCTGAGTGTGAGATTTGAGGTGAAGATCAGCCACAAACCTCAGGAGTCAACTCAATCAAAATTACAAATTAAGTGGGGAGCTGCATCTTTCACAAGGATGTGGAGAGTCCACCATATGTTTTCCTCCTGGTGTTGCTACACTAGGACTTTGATTTTCTTCAGTTATCATTACAGTCGCTCCATACGTTGACGGAGAGGAAAGACTTAAAGCCAATAACCCATCTAATACCATTAGGAAGCTGAGCTGTTACATCAGGAAGGATAGGCATTTGCAGCAATATGAAAACAGCTGTCCCAAGCTCCTCCAACAAGATAAGCTTTTAACCTTGACTGCTGATATTTGGCAAGGTGGTTGTTTCTATGGATGCGGAATGTTGACTCTGACCCAACTTCAGTGATCTAACCCCATCCCCAACACCAAAGTCCTGGTCCAAAGAACCATACTTCTCTCTTCCACAACAGCTTATCCCAACCAAACATCTCAATTGACTGGTTTTAGCTTCATAAATAAACAATGTTTCTGATGTTCCACCCTTCTGCCTCCCAGAAAAAAATTCCAACTGAACACTTTTGCCTGTGACTGCGTTATGTCTCAATTCAAGCTGCTATTGCATCTTACTTACCCACATACTCTTCTACTTCCCTGACTGAAAAGTTGTTTGGTGGGAGAGAAATTCCCAGTCCATCTATCTTGGACAACATGATGGGAAACTCAAAGCCATGTTTTTCCAGGTACTTTTGTGTCAGCTGAGCACCATGCATTCTGATGATGATTTCATCTGCACTGTCAAGACAAGAAACATACTGGCTTGAAGGACATCAGTGGCACAAAGAGAAAATAAATAAATTTGTATGTCAAATGTGGGGAGATGGATTAATACAGTTACAGTGAGGGTTTTGGACCAGGAACAGTACCGAGGGCATTGGAAGTACATTTTATATTTGCATGCAGATGCAGTTTACAGGATCATTATGGCATTGTTTGAAGGCAGCACATTTTAAATTCTATGGTGAGACAAGGGTTCTAACTGCATTAGAAAGAAAAACCAACCAGCTCCTCATTTTTGCCCTTTCCCACTTAATCGTGAGAAGCAATAAACTAATCCTGTCCTCACCAGACATGTACACACACCAAAGCTGTTGTTACTGGATAAGAGCCTTGGAGGTGAAGTCTTGGTTATTTGGTTCTCTTTCTCTGGCCGAGGACACGAACGCTCATTATTGTGGCCTCACTGCAACCCAAGCTGAGATCAAATGAAACCTAGCACAAACAGAGGTTCAAACTTGGGACCTTTCAGATCTGTATTTAAAAACCTAGCAATGAGGGACCATTCACAGAGAGTTCCATTCAAGCCAGCAGATCAGCAGGGTAAAAGATAAGGGCGAGATGACAGACACACAAAGGAAGTGTACAGATACGTCCCTTCAATACATTTAGGATGATGGGTGTAATTCATTGGAATACGCTTCCTCTAAAAACTTCCTCCTTTAAAAACCTCTCCAGACCCCATTCAACAGAAGAAAGCATACAGAGGCATTTCCTTCAATCTTGTTGGCTGGCTTACGTAGCTGACATCAAGGAGCAGGAAATTCATACATCCTGAGGTCATAAAAACTGTTTGAATGTGTGCTGTTTGTGTGTGTGAGAGAGACAAACAAAGAACACAAAGATGCTTTATCATTTCTTTATGTGTCACAACTTCTGAGAGAGAAATTGTGCTTCAGCATTAGTCTCTGTTGTTTTATATGATACAACACATGGGATTTTTAATTCCTTGACTGATAGTGAAACCATACAACACACCTTCTAAAGACCATTTACCAATCTCAGAAACCTTTTGTTAGGATCAGTGACTTAAGAGAAACAGGTTTTGTATTGCTAGTCATTAAAGCAAAGGGGACAGACAACACATAACATCACCAGAGAAACGAAGTGGCGCCTTACCTAGGGAAGGATCGAGCTTGGAGCTCCCTGACAAAGACTGATGTTCCTGCTTGTACCGGTTTAACGTGTTCATCAACCTCTGTGTAATCGTGCCTGTGCCAATTCTTCCGTTTTCTCACTGTGATCCAAAGAACAAAGGAAAATCTTAAAATAAAATCAGCGTCAAATTTTGGCAGGAATTATTTTCTTTACCGTGAATAAGTGTCAAATATAATTGAATATAAATCTGGAGAACAAACACAGAATTTAGTAAATAAGACCAAAGGGACAACTTTTGGAACACATTCCCCAAACATTCTGTTCCTAGGTCTCTCTTTGAAAGTGAGACCATTGCTAGGCCCGAACCCATAAATCCATACCTGGACCCACAATTAAGAACTTAAGGACTTCCCATTATTTGTTCCAAATTCATTGATGGAGCTCTTCTGCAAAGAGTGCAGTGGACATGCAAGGCTCAAAGCCATTCAGAGACTGCAGGAATCAATGTTCTGGTAAACAACTAACCAGTGCTCTTGTGGTTGGAATTATGCCACACAGATGAAAGGTGAGGCTTCACCAAACTGGTATAATACCAGAGTGTGAATAACTAGACAATGCTGGGGGAAACACCACTCAAAATCGGGTTTGGGCAACACAGTGCTCAGATGCAGATTGCAGGTATGGGAAGATATTTCATTCTCTAGCACGAAGAGACCCTTTTATCAAATAGTTTCTAAGCTTTAATGCGCATTAACCAGATAGGTTTTAACAAGAACTGCTTCTTAATGCCCCTGACTACTCTTCTTCCCACGCTAAAAACAACACATCTAATTATCACAACCATCTACACTTTGTGCCTTTGCCATTTGATTAATCAGCTCAAACAATAACAAAGATGCACTCAAATTATAGGAGGAAGAATCTGCTCGTCTCAAAATTGGGGAAAACAGCAGAAATTAGAATGTTGCAGCACAGAAACTGACCATTCGGCCCATGAAATCTTGCGTTTTTCTCCACTTGAGCCACCTAATCTAATTCACCTCTCTTTTTTAAACCCTAAGATTTTTCTCCACTTCACAAGCATCTGCATTTTAACGGACCATTTTTGGCAGTGAATTCCATGTTCCAAACACTCTCCTACATTTTACTCCGAAAATGAAATAAAAAGAGCTGACAAAAAAAAGAGAACGTCTGAATATTTGAAAGTCAAATGTACTCACTCAGGGAAACACCATGCAGTGCAGCACAGTTTGGACAGTGGTACAAGTCAATGTCAACAGCTTGATGCTCTTCCACTCGCACACAGCTGAAACAACAACAATATGATTACATTTGTATAGCGCCTTTTACGTCGGGAGGACGTCCCAAGGCGCTGGACAGAATACAGCATTTCAGATCTGAGCTGGGGTCAGGGGGGAGAAGGGAGGGGAGGGGAAGGGGGATGACTAATGGCATGGTCGAAGAGGGGGTTTTTAAGGCGGGACTTGCAGGAGGCTAAGGAGAGGGCGAGGCGGAGTGATTGGGGGATGGAGTTCCAGAGGTTCGGGGCAGAGTGGCTGAAGGCTCTCCCGCCAATGGTGGGGCAAGTGGGTCGGGGGACGTGGAGCAGGCCAGAGCCGGCTGAACGGAGGGAGCGAGCGGGTTGGTAGGGGGTTAGGAGGTCACAGAGATAGGGTGGGGCGAGACCATTGAGGGCTTTGTAGCTGAGGACCAGGATCTTGAACTGGATCCTCTGAAGGATAGGGAGCCAATGGAGTCGGGCGAGAGTGGGGGAGATGGGGTCATGGAGTTTGGTGCAGGAGAGGATACTGGCTGCAGAGATCTGGATTATCTGCAGCCTGTGGAGGGCATTTGCATAGTCGAGCCTGGAGGTGATGAAGGAGTGAGCAAGAGTTTCAGCGGCCTGAGGGGTGAGGTAGTGGTGGAGTCGGGCGATGTTACGGAGGTGAGGGAAGACAGAGCGGGTCATGGCTTGGATGTGGGGAAGAAAAGATAGTTGAGGGTCGAACAAGACACCTAGGTTCCTGACTGGCTTGGTGAATTGAAGAAACACACAAAAATACATACAACTTCCATATATTCCACACAGAGATATATTGCAAAATGTCTCCATTCATTATTTTCAAAACAAAACAAAGAACCATGCATCTTCAGGTAACATTTTGCTTTGGTCAGCCAGGTGTCTGACACATGCAGAAACCCATCACCATTCAAGCGAATCAGAGTTCCTTGCGTGCCACCCCACACGCTTTCCACAAGACACACCTCTACCTGCATCATCTCCTCCTATGTAATTTTATTTCCAAACAGCTGTTCGCAACAAAATTCTGTGATGTCAGCATGGATTAATAAGCAAGAGCCCCCCAACTGAAAATATTGACTGGATCTTCTTTAGTGGGACCTGGAGGCTGCTCTGGGAATGAGAAGCCAGTGTTATCACCTGTGGCATGCATGGAATGATTCCTTCGCCCCATTATCCTCCCATCCGCTCCATTCAATTTCAACGCCTGGGGGGGTGGGGGTGGGTCATACTGGCCCAATTGGTTCTTGAACTGTGAAGCTCTCTGCTTATAGCAACAAAAACACAACAGATCAGTTTTGTAATCCAGAATTAATGCAATCATAATTGTTGCTTGGTTCTGTGGCTCTTCCAGAATAATAAAAATAAATTATATAAAAAAAGTCAAATATTCAGAGAAAAAAGTGGACAGGTGGCACATTTTGAAACTGTGGGTCAATTTCAATAAATTTGACAGCACAAATAGTCTCTGCTGTTTTTGAACAGTGCGTTCTGTTCTCGTGTCTGGGAATGGTTGACAAGTTCCAACCCTCACATTTGGCTCGCGAACACATATCTAGAAGTGAATGCTCACATTTTCCTACAAGAAGCATCGGCTAAAAGGAAGTTCTATATTCAGTACTAGCGTGACAAGTATCAAATGAAGAAACTACCAGATGGTTCAGCTGTTACATTTTTCACCTGGTCAAATACTAAATACTGAGTTCTAGGTTGAATCCCTGCTCTGCCTGAGCCAATTAATCGAATCCAACCAACTTTAAGGACAGTATAGCTAACTTCTGTGCCCTCAAAAATTTAAGAACCAACATTTCTCATGGCCTGAGGCTTAAGACAGTCTTTAAAGTTAAATTGGAATACTGTGTGAGTTTTGGGCTCCTCATTATAGGAAAGATGTTCAGGCACTGGAGGTGGTACAGTGAAGATTCACCAGTAAGTTGTTTGGAATGAGAAAATGCAGTTATATGAAAAGACTTGATAAACTGGGGCTTTTCTCTTTGGAGCTCAAAAGGCTGAGAGGGGATATAATAGAGGTATATAAGATGATGAGAGGCTTAGATAGGGTTGAAAGAGAAAGATTATTTCTAGAACGAGAGGGCATATCTTTCAATCTTAACTGGTAGCTTCAGAACAGAGATTAGGAACAACATCAACAACAAAATTACATTTATAGAGCGCCTTTCATGTCGGGAGGAAGTCCCAAAGCGCTGAATAGTCAGGTGTCAGGGCCCGAGTATGGGGGAGGGGTGGTGTAGGGGTGAGGATGGTGTAGGGGTGAGGGAAGGCAGAGAAGTAGGAGGGCGACCAAAGGCACGATCAAAAAGAAGGGTCTTGAGACCGGCCTTGAAGGAGGCAAGGGAGGAAGTGATTCGAAAGGACCGTGGGATGGAGTTCCAGAGTGTGGGGGCAGAGAGGCTGAAAGCCCGGCCACCAATGGTAGGGCGGGTTGGGTGGGAGACATGGAGCAGACAGGAGCCCACTGAACAGAGGAGCGGGCAGGTTGGTAGGGAGTCAGCAGGTCAGAGAGGTAGGAGGGGGCGAGGCCATGGATGGCCTTGAAAGTGAGGACGAGGATCTTGAATTCGATTCTCTGGGGAATGGGGAGCCAGTGGAGTTGGGCGAGGGTGGAAGTGATGGGGTCATGGAGCCTGGTGCATGACAGTACACGAGCTGCAGAGTTTTGGATGATCTGCAGCTTGTGAAGGGAAGAGTTGGGAAGGCCAATGAGGAGGGAATTCCCGTAATCGAGCCTTGATGTGACGAATGCGTGGGTGAGGGTTTCGGCAGTGGGGGAGTCTGAAAAGGTTGCGGAGGTGGTGGTAGGCAGTGCCGGTCATGGCGCGGTTGTGGGGGAGAAAGGACAGTTCAGGGTCGAACAAGATACCCAGGTTCCTGACTGGCTAGGAAAAACATTATCACAAAGAGTAGTGGGAGTGTGGAATTATCTGCCACAATCAGTCATGGGGAAGCAAGCATGTGCACATTCCAAAAAAAATTGGACACACGATTAAGTTGTGTGAAATGGAGAAAAGGCCAGAACAAGGGACTAGGGATACGATCCAGCATAGGCACTCATGTCGAGTATAAACATCAGTTAGACTGGATGGCCCGAATGTTTCTGAGCTGTACCATGTATGAATCCCAATCATCTGCAAAGGAGAAATTGAATGGGGGAAAAGAGAGAAATGTAAGAAGGACACTGCTGCTGATTCTGGTACCTGCTTGTGGCCAGTTTGGATATATTGGCTCTGGAGGGGGTGCCACACAGAATCATCAGAAAGATACCAGGGCTTAAAGGGTTAAATTATGAGAACAGGTTGCATAAACTTGGTCGCTACTCTTTAGTTTAGAAGGTTGAGGGGTGATCCGATTGAGGTTTTTAAAATAATAAAGGGATTTGATAGGGTAAATACGGAGAAACTATTTCCTTTGGTAGGGGAATCCAGAACAAGGAGTCATAATCTTAAAATTAGAGCCAAGCCACTTAGGAGCAAAATCAGGAGGCAGTTTTTCACACAAAGGGTTGTGGAAATCAGGAACTCTCTTCCACAAAAAAACAAGATTATCTTTATATAGCGCTTTTCACGTCGGGAGGATGTCCCAAGGCGCTGGACAGAGTACAGCATTTCAGACCCAAGCTGGGGTTGGGGGGGTAAGGGAGGAGAGGGGAAGGGGGTGGCCGATGGCATGGTAGAAGAGAAGGGTCTTGAGGTGGGACTTGAAGGAGGCTAAGGAGGGAGCGAGGCGGAGTGATTGGGGGGATGGAATTCCAAAGGTTGGGGGCAGAGTGGCTGAAGGCTCTCACGCCAATGGTGGGGCGGGTGGTTCGGGGGACGTGGATGGCCAGAGCCGGCTGAGCGGAGGGAATGGGTGGGTTGGTAGGGAGTTAGGAGGTCGCAGAGGTAGGGTGGGGCGAGGTCATGGAGGGCTTTGTATGTGAGGACCAGGATCTTGAACTGGATCCTCTGAAGGATAGGGAGCCAATGGAGTTGGGTGAGAATGGGGGAGATGGGGTCACGGAGTTTGGTACGGGAGAGGACACCGTTTGCAGATTCTGGAGTATCTGCAGCCTGTGGAGGGAGGAGTTAGGAAGGCCGACAAGCAGGACGTTTGCATAGTCGAGCCTGGAGGTGATGAAGGCATGAACAAGAGTTTCCGCGGCCTGAGGTAGTGGGGGAAGTCGGGCGATGTTACGGAGATTAGGTCAGGGTATTAAGGGATATGGAGCAAGGGCGGGTAATTGGAATTGAGGTACAGATCAGCCATGATCGTATAACGTGGCGGAACAGGTTCGAGGGGCTGAATGGCTTATTCCTGTTTCTATGTTTCTATGACACAAATTTAACAATCAAAAAAAGAGTGAAATGAGAGCTCAAAAATATTACACAGAAGATGGAATGAATGTGGAATTCTGCATCACAAATTTTTGTCAAGTGATTAGTCCTTTTAAAAAGGGAGTTAAGGTAGATGGACGATGAAGAGGAAAGTGTCATGAACCGCACATATGTGAAACGCCCCGCCACAAGATCCTTTCAGTACAAAAAGTCACTTAACCAGACAGTGGATAACTTTTGCTTCACCAAATTCTCAAGGATGGGACAGACTTTTGTGGCTGGAAATTAATATGGGCTGTGCCACAGAGTAGAGAAGCTGAGCAGCAGTTAAACGAGTGGATGATGAGGGCAAATCATGCTACAAATGACCTTGTGTACTCCTGAGCGGTCTGGGAGCAACCTCTGGTCGTCTTCTCAACCATATCCCAGAGCTGGCAAGATTTTAGCTGGAGCTTAAAATACATCAGGGAAGAGGAAGAATGAATGGTAAGAAGCATTCTGTAGCTGTGTAGGAATCTTTGAGGCTTAGCGATTAAGGAGTGCAGAATTTCGTTCCCTTCTCCGGAATAGATGCAATTAAGAAACCTCCTTTCCTGTCAAAAACTTCAATGAATTGCTACAATTTTCAGTCACTTCAGTTTGTTGAAAGAGATCTAAACCATCTCATTGGATACA